GAGTTACTGTGATGCGACAGTATTTATATGTGCAGGCGGAGCCTGACATCTGTCGTCATCATGTCACCTGCTGTCAGGCTCCGCCTGCACATATATATACTGTCGCCATCACAGTATATATATATGTGCAGGCGGAGCCTGACATCTGTCGTCATCATGTCACCTGATGTCAGGCTCCGCCTGCATATATATATACTGTCGCCATCACAGTATATATATATGTGCAGGCGGAGCCTGACATCTGTCGTCATCACGTCACCTGCCTAAAGGCGTGATTAGAGGTGGCTTCAGCCAGGACACGCAGGGGCGTGGGTTCCCATACATGATGTTGTACCTCGTTCCTTTCCTTCAGGGAACAGTAGTTATATGCATAACATTACGTTACTCGGTCTGCCTACTTCCACCGCAGAAATATCAACCGTCTCCGTCCTTCTCTCACACCCTGCACCACAGCCATCCTTGTCCACAGTCTTGCGACCTCACGGATCGATTACTGCAACTCTTTCCTTTTTGGCCTCCCCAACAAATCCCTCCATAAGCTTCAGATGGTGCAGAACTCAGCTGCATGTGTCATCACCCAAACCTCCTCCCATAACCACATCACCCCAGTCCTGCAGCAGCTCCACTGGCTCCCGGTCAAATCACGCATCGTCTTCAAAATTCTTCTTCTCACGTTTAAAGCTATCCACCATCTTGCCCCTCCTTACATGTCCGACCTCGTACACATCTCCATCCCCTCCCGCTCACTCAGATCCTCTTCTTCCCTAAACCTCCAAGTACCCACTGCCCGCCTCTCCACCATGGGGAGAAGGGCCTTCACCTGTTCTGCACCTCTCCTCTGGAACTCTCTACCACCTGACCTCAGAAACACCACCTCTCTTCCTGTGCTCATGACTGCTTTGAGAACACATCTCTTTAGATTAGCATATCCATCTTAACTTAATTTGTAAACAATGCTCTGTAACTCATGCCAGCTTGTCTCTAACTGTATTTTCACACATTCTCCTATGATGTGCCTACTGCTGTAAGTGTCCTTGGGTGTCCTGAAAGACGCTTTTCAAATAAAATGATTATTATTAAGCATTCATTGCCGCCGTCATGTTGTAAGACGGAGTGTCAACAACAACAAGGGTGTTTTCAACTTTTTTATTTAATTTTTTATTGTCTAATTTAGCTGTATCTGCCCTTTGAAAGTCTGTCTCTGTAAATGCATCATGTAAATGAAGGAAGAAAAAGCAACATCAGCTTCAAGAATTGCCCCCCAAAAATCAGCAGCACATATCGGGGGTCGGTTAGACTGATGTCAAAATAATCGGTATCAGTCCATCTCTAACTAACAGATTGTGCAGTCCTGCCTTGGCTGTACCTAAACTACTTTAGATAACAGACTGTTTATTTACCATCTGCAAGGCGTCGCTCATGTCCAAAGAAGACTCTCGTGGCGGAGCTATGGATGTAGGGCAGAGGCAGCTCAGGTAGGTGTCCTTCGTTTTCTCCAACCACACTCTAGGAAAAATACACAACATGTAACAAATTATCTCTTTGTTGCCTTCAAACTCATTTCAATTCTTTAAATCGTGCAGTAAATATAAATATCCCGTTTATATACAGCGTTAAAATGATCTTTTCATGGAATCAAACCCATCTAATTATCCGAAGATCAGGATTTGATCAAATCTGGTAAAACTGACATCAACATGTCACTATACCTTAAAGATTCAGATTTAACAGCACAAAAATAGAAATAGTTTATTTTATTTTATTTTTTTCAAAACTATAAATGAGCAGAGAACTTCTGGCTAGCATGCAGTACTGTCTGATACTGCAGCTATATGACTTAAAAAGCTCTTGAGAGCTACAGCAGTACTGTGTGTTAATGTGTACACATCGACCATTACAATACATTTTGTCGTTTTTTTGTTTTGTTTTTATCTAGCTCAGCAGAGAGCAGTTTGATGTCTGCTGGCACCTTGAATTTACGTCACAGCACTCCAGATGCTAAAGAACATGTTAACAATCCATAATAAATTCATTTCACGCTGCGATAACAGAGACTTACTATGTCAGAAAATAATTTATTCGTTCATTAAGTCATTAAATAAGTGACCACAACACTACTGTTCTGATGACTGGTCCATCTGATTACATTAAGATCAGAAAAATAAAAAATTCTTTCCCCCATGTGTTTCATTTTCTCTAGATTAAAAAAAATAAAAACAAAAACCATGAAAGCATTTAGCCCTTCATTTCTAACAACTTCTGTTTATTCTCTGACACTACAAACTCAAAATCTTAGTTTACCGCAGGAATAGCATCTGTAAAGCTGTAAAAACACAACATGCAAAGAAACACCATCAGTAACTTACCTTGTAAACGTAGAGGAACTCTCTGAGGAAGGCAGCCTGCTGGGTGGCTGTCTGTCTGCTGTCATTAACTAAGATCTGCCTGAAAGCCATCACTGCGTTTTCCGGCTGGCTGAGGGTGAAAGAGTGGCGACCAATCGTGAAGTTGATGTGATCCTCTGCCAAAGACCAGCCCCTCTCTTTGTACACCTGCATGGCTTGGCAGTAACACCGCAGAGCGTGCCTTCTCTACGTTCAGTATATTGAGACAGAAAGAAGATAAGACACATTTATACACTGTATAACAACCAACTAGCAGAAACTGCTCTGTTTCGGTATGGCCTACTTCATTTACAACGAAACAGCTTTTACAACACTGCTCACCAGGAAGCTACTGCTATATAGTTAATCTGCAGCTCCACCTACATTTGCAAACAAGTTTAGAAAGGTCCTTTATCATGTTTTTGTTTGGGTACTTTCTTTATTTTAGACCACATTAGATCTTGATATGTCCTCATAGGGAAGTCACCATGAGATCTGCTCATTTCAATCCAAAGATGGAGCCACTTTTTGCTACCAACTATCACTGATCTTTAAAGATCTTACAGTACATAAGAAACATGTTTAGAGCTCCTGTCAGGAACAAGGAGCTCTAATCTTTACCTGGGATGCTTACCTGCCCTGCCTTGCTGAAACGATGACCAGCCAGGATCATGTGGAAGGCAAACTTGCGCACCATCGGGTTACGCATATTGATGAAGCAGTGGGCCGCCTGTTCCAGCAACAGAGCACTGCGCAGGTCTGAGTCCTGCAGAGCCACAAACATTATTTATCTATAGCTGTTTCACTTAAAAAGACAAACCTGACTGGGAAATTTTAATCACGCACATTCACTGTAACGTACTTTTTGATTATGTTTCCTTTGAATTTTAGGTCTTAAAAAGGAAACAAAAAGAAGTCAGATATTTAAAGAAGATTTGGACTGTATGTTATTTAAGTCAGTGATGGACTTGCGACAGCTGGTCCTCACAAGTGGTACACCAATGTCCCCCATTACTAAAGACTTTGGATAATGAATATTTATAGTTTTCAAAATAAGAGTTTTTCTGGACTAGAACTGAACAACTGAAAACTTTTACGTTTTTGGTGCAAGATATTCAAGCAGGTAGGCGTTACATTGTGTATAAGAAGAGAGGTCATTTTTTTTGTTTTACTTCACTGAGGCGGTGCAAAGTGACAGATCCTAGTGAGTGGATGGTGGAAAGTGGAATTTTATTCACCACAAGACACAATGGAAGAGCTGGGGGGCTGGTCAAAAGTGGCCTTGCCCACCAAAGATTAATTTTCAGCCACCCTATTGGCCACCGCAATCATTTGAGCAAACTATACATTTGAACAACATAAAAATAAAATAAAATAGGCGGCCATTTTTTATATACATGTATATGTATGGTGGTGGACATCTTGGATTTTGAAGTGGCAACTAAATTCTTGACATTTCTTGTGCCTAGATTTTGCCACACACCAAAATAGAAGTCAGCATGTTGTTTAATTTTGAATTTACATTATCTAACTCACATGATTTTACATATACAAATATAGCTCGGCAGCCATCTTGGATTTTGACGTGACAACTCAAATTTTCATAGGAACATTTCCTATGCCTACATGCAGCCGCACGCCAAAATGGAAGTTGATATTTTGCAAATTTTTTCAGTTCTTCAGCTCACAAGAGGACAGATGGTTAAAAACTATTTCTAAGTTTCCTGTCTGTTCTGCAATGGGAGACACCAGATTAGTACCACTGGATGTTACAAAGCATCACAGAGATATGGGTCTACCTTATAAAGCATACAGTAATCAGTTTTCTTTTTGGAGTCTCAATGGTGAAGTTGTTCAAAATAAAGAACAGCTCATTTTGGTGTGATCCAGTTTTAATTACCTCACTGGTCATCTTAATGAGGAGAGATGCAGCTTCTGAGTATTTCCCCTGACTCTTGAGAATTTCAGCACTGAGTAAAGCACAGCGCTCAGCCAACACCATGTTCCTACAGACAAATACAAACTTAGCTCAGAAAAAGTTGGAATGTTGTATACAGAACACATTGATTTTTAAATCAACCTTTTATTCTCAGTGGAGTACAGAAAACAAATCTAACATATTGCTTAACCTAAATAAACATATATTTAACAAACACTTAACACTGTAGATCACCACTTTTTAAATCAATGCCAAATAACGATCAATTAAATCAGCCTGGAGATGATGCAGTCTATTTCTTCTTCCACAGACAGACTGAGGTGCACTTAGAAGTAAATAAACACTGGGCCTCATGGAAGAACCGTTCGTACGCACAGATTTGTTCTTAAGTTGTGCGTGCGTACAAGTGATTTAGGAGAATTTGTGGCATTCACCAATTTTCTTGAATTGTAAGATTTTTTTCAGATACGAACAAAATTCACGAGTGGTCCAGACCTGTCATATATTTTACGAGCAGTCAGTCTGCTGTTATCCAGATGGATTTTCTTCACTAATAACTTAATATTTCATTAGTTTGAAGATATTAAGTTGAAAATAAATCACTCCATAATTATGTTGATAATAGGCTGTTCTGTTTGAATTGGAATTATTGTTTAAATGTTATAATGTAGACTAATGATATAATTTAAACTGGCATTTAATGCTGTTGTATAACACTAAAATATATGAAGATCTCAAACTACAAACCAACTTAAATTATGCATTAATTGAAATTTAATTTGTCTCGGTATAAAATGAGGTCAATGGGAAGTGAACATAATTAACAGCTTTATTCAGACATAGATTAGGTTATTTTTTTAATCAAATGTTATTTTGTTGAGATTTGGCACATTGGTATGGGCTGTGGCTCTTCTTCTGAATAAATGAAAACTGTGTAACACAGTTGTTTACACTTGAATTAAAAATATTTGACCAAAGAAAAACCAGAGCAGGACTAGAGAGAGAGATGAATATGATTTAGATTTGTATTTCTGTGACTGTAACGACCCACAGGAGACACAACATTAACAGCAGTCATCATTTCATTCCTTGGCTTTAGCAGCTCCTTTAATTCCACAACTGACGCTGCTAAAAATTACAGATTTTCTTTTCTGGATCTCTGCGAGCTCTCCAATCGAACTCGTGAAATTCTTCTTTTGACTTTGTGATGTCATTTTCATGAATGGACACTTCCTGGTATGTGGGGCAGGAAACGTTGCCTTATATGGTGTTTTTGGGGTGGTAATTATGCTAATCTCCTCTCCTCGTGCACGAGCACCTGAACACGCATTCATCATGTTTACACAGCTCATTTACACACTTTTCCTGAAGATAGAAGAGTTAGTTGAATCTGATGTGGCGTGTTCGTAAAAGCCCTTAGTACAGAAAAAAGTAAGAGGATTCAGGTTCCTACCTGCAGACATCTCTGTATGTCTGTATTGCAGTCTCCATGTAATGAGCTGGATATGGTCTGGGGGCTCCGCCCTGCAGAAAGGCTGACACTGCAGCCATTTCCTACAAATCACATGTAACAAAAGGAACTTAGAGAAGAGTAGTAAAAAATACATATATGAAATTAATGAAACTGAAGATACAGGAGGTAAAAAGATTTTAAGTAGCATGTAACAGCTGTGAGCTTGGCTTGTCTCTGGCCACAACACTTACTCAGCTGATTATGAAGCCAGTACATTCCTATCCATTTATTTAATTATTTTTAAATTATTTCATATTTTATGCTTTTATTTTTTCAGCTTAAAAGAACATTACTGACTGATAAATGTACCGTGTCAGAGCCTTTTGTTACTCTGATTCCCAAATCTGAAACACTCTTCCTCCAGACATCTATGACACTGACTCTCTTCTGAATTTTAATCACAACTTGAAACTAATCTTTTAAACTAGATACCCCATAGCGGTAACATAATGACCCCCACACGCACAAATGCACCAGAACTGAGAAGTCTTCATTCCTAATAAATGTCATGCTACTAGGTGCATCCAAAATTGTAGTGGTTTGGGTGGGGGTCTTTTTTTGATGGGGGCGGACACTGATTGGTTGGCCTGATGGATAGCCATCAGAGCTAAACAACCAAAGAAAATCTGAAGCTCCTATGTTTAATGGTTTTTGAGC